AGATTTCTAGGTTAACGGTGTGTAGCACTATGACCTGTCAATACATACAATACAGTAGATACGATCCGCCTTTATAATGGATAGCACACATCTCATTGCCATGCATCAGACAAACAACTGATATTAATGTTTTACATTTGTCATGTCACTGTCATCCAATATGAAGCCGTGTCTCTTTATGATGCCTCAGTTTGGCTACTGCTCATTTCCTCTGAATTCGACTAATAATTCAAATTCCCACAGAACATACATTCGATACAATAAAGGCATGCTTACCAGCAACCTCGGTTCGATTCCAGGCCAACTAACATCAGTGGCGAGTGGTATCTGAACTGGTCCTGGTTCCGCTTTCACCAACAAGCACAGACCATTGAGTGACCAGTGGGGTGAAGTATGGTCAGCCCACCCCCCATGACTGGTGAGGCCTTTGTCCATCAGTGGATTTACAAACGGCTTACCATATTCGGGTTTTAGTTATACAATTAATGTAGTTCTTTTTTCAAGTGAAAGTTAAATACTGTAATCTGTAATATACGTGGTGGAATCATTAAATGTCCTTTAATTTATACACTGCAGTGGCATTTATAAGTGGTAAATTTGGACACCAATCTGTATCTCATCTTACTCATTACAATAGCTTTTAATGATATTAATTACAAAGTCTTTTAAAGAAAGTTAAAAAATGACCATAAACATTGTATAATATATAACTATATTATTATAAATTTTGACTTAAAGCTTTCGTGACTGCAGGGATTCATATTCTTGGTTCTTTCGGTAGTCACGCAGAGGTTCTCTGCAAGCCATCTGGCTCCCATGAGAGATTCGTTCATGAGGCTATCCACACACAAACACAGAGACAATTTCAACCGAGATGGATTCTGGCTTAGCAACCATTGTAAGGATTTGATAAACCATTTCGGGTCTTAATTGATTGTTCACACTTACGGTGGCTTTCAGACCGCATCCATTATTTTCGTCGCCCACCCCCCCCCCTCCTCTTTTCCGAACATAGATGGACTCGTCCATCTGAATAACTGCCAAATCGCTCTCCGTGGTGCTAACGTTAAAAAAACCGCCACTTTTTTAAAATTTTCTTGCTGTGGTTTTCACACCTGATGATGATTGCTGGTGTTGCAGTCGAAACGTCGTGAGAATTTTATTGTTTAATATTTTTATTCTTTTATTGTTTCCCTTCTACACGGTGACTTTACCGAAAGAACCAAGAATATATTATTATATAACCACATCCTTGTTCTTTACAGTGGTGGAGCCAGGGGGATGACAGGGTAGACAATTGTCACCCCCGAAAAAAAATAAAAAATCTGAAACATTCTGTGTATAAGTGTACGACACTCGGTCTGGCGAACTCCGTGCAACTGCATTGTCAGTGTGTCGCCAACCGATGGCGTTTAGTTCAACAGCCTGACTCTCTAATCATTCTTGAAATTAAATTTTGTTGGCACCCCAGGCTGAAAATCCTGGCTCCGGCCCTGGTTCTCGAGATACTCATTTCCGCAACAAAGGTCTCTCGAACTTAATGTGAAGCTTTCGTGACTGCAGGAATTACTCTTTGGTTCTTACGGTGAAGTCACGTAGAAAGAATAAATTAAATAATAGGTAGAACTACATTTGAGAGAGAGACAAAACACAAACACGGAGACACAGACACAGACACACAGACACAGACTCTCATAGGTCCATTCGCTCTTTCTCTCCCCCGGCCGCTTCGGGGTGGAGTTCCACACATCTCTCTGTCTGTCTAATTTCACACTTAACTTCAAATTTAGCAATCTTTGGAGATCGTAATCAACCAGGCTATGCGTTAACTGTGTGTTAGCCGACTCTCTGTGTTGCATTGCATTACATTTCCCAAAAAAATGCTACATTATGTTTTCTCAAACTGCCTATTTCTCTCTAAAAAAATGTACCAGGCTCTTATAGGTCCATTCGCTCTTTCTCTCCCTCGGTCGCTTCGGGGTGGATTTCCACACAACTCTCTCGAAAATGTACCAGTCTTGTTGAGTCTTTCAGTGACATGCGAATTTCTCTGCTCCAGCAGCTGCTCCAGCAGACCCACCACTCTCTCTCTGCCCCCCCCCCCCCTCTCTCTATTTCATGCCTCGATAGAGGCATTGGGTCGCGGTGTGTCTATGTTGTCTCTCTCTGCTTGTGTCTGTCTTTGTGTCTCCGTGTTTGTGTTTTGTCTCTCTCTCAAATTTAGTTAAACCTGATGACGGTTGCTTGTGTAGCAATCGAAACGTCGTATTCTATGATATAATTTATTTTCCTTCTACGTGGCTTTACCGAAAGAACCAAAGAATAAGGTCTCTGTAATTTATTGGAACGCCAATCCAACTGCAAGAGTGGTGCAGAGCAATTGCAAATAATCAGATCTGTTGAGGGAAAAGTAAAAAAAACCCACTAGTTTTACAAACAGTACTCATTCCATTTATCTTGGGGCTTTGGGTTTGACTGTGCATAGCATTAGTTGATGGTCTCAGACTAGTCACCATTGACTACACAAAAATAATATCACCTTAAATTCGGTTAGGCACTTGTTGGATAAAAATATCAGTTTGACTTTCATGACAAATATCTGCAGCAGGGCTGATGGAAAAGTGCTGCCCCCTAGTGTAGATACGAGATCACTTGGTAGTAGTTCTGTGATACCTGCTTCCTCGGACTGTTATCTAACACAGGGTTTTGCAACATTGTGAGATCCTCATGTTTTTTTACGCATCTCATGATGTAATGCTAACACAATTGGGATAACATTTGTGGGAAATTATAGCTTTACTGCAAGTGCATATCGCCAAAATAATCACAAATATTACATCATGGGACTTCATTTGTCAGTACCAAAATATAATAGGTTTTCCCCTTTTTATGGCAACAAAACAGGTGTTAAGATGTTAAAACACCAAACTGAAACCTTTTACAAGGAATCGTGTCTGCATTAATCACAATGCGTGTGGCGTCCTCTGGTCTAACACCGTTTGAGACGAGGCTCAAAAGAAAGCTATCTGGTGTGGACCAATCAGTTTCAAGGACAATGCATATATTATCAGAGTATGTTTTTTTTGTTTGCATTCTGACCACAAGCATTGTGGTTAATGCAGACATGATTCCTTGTAAAAGGTTTCAGTTTGACGTTTTAACATCTTAACACCTGTTTTGTTGCCATAAAAAAGGGAAAAAACCCTATTATCAATAAAATATTAATTAATGACGCATAACCAATCATTTTTGATGAACACGACATAAACATGATTGCTAGTTTACGTAATACTTGTATTTTAACGATACTCCGACATGGTAAACTTACTCTATCGCCCGTGTAACTCCTCAAGTCAATACAAATACAGTTTGACATGTTATATACAGCTGTCCGTGGTACTTTCAATACTGCCCTTTGCTGATCACCAGCACTAAGCGGGCTTTTTTTTCCAAAGCATTTTTAGACTTTGGAGCAATAAAGCAGAGCTTTGTCCTTTGGGACTGTGCAGTGGTGGTTGACACAAGGCAGCAGGCTCTAAAAGCCATGATCGTAACCCTCGCTGTCCTGCTTTCAGCCTAAAACATCTACGGGGTTGTAGATTATTGTACTTTAACCTCGAGCCATGCTTGACAAAATTATACCGTGAGCTGCCACTTTTTTCCCCCCCGCTACGATCAAATGTGACTCTTTTGACCCCAATAAGGTCTTTGGTATCGAAGCCTAAGAATGAAGCCACTTTCTCACCAAAACGTCCCGCGCTACTAAATTTATCCATGCCATGCCTGCTCCGCCGTGACTTGTGATAATCCCATAAATTTCCACGCCTTTCAAACGCCCATGCCCCCCTAACGCATTAATATACGCGACTCGCGCAGTAATACACACACCCCTCTACAAAAATGCTGTGCCAGAGCGCACGTGTATGTGGGCTGGGGCTGGTATGCTTAAGTCAAGTTTGGTCGCCCGCCAAAGCATGAACATATATTTTTTAGCTTTCCGCAACAAGAACGCAGAGTGCGCGACTGGCGTAGGCCCAGACTGTGTGCAGTTTCCGTAAGCAACATAACAAAAAACAAATGCATTGCCGTGTAAAAACGTGCAACTATGAAATATAGTTTCCTGCGCAATCAGCAAGCGTGCAAGTTCCCCCCCCCCCCCCTTCATGATTCAATGAATTGCTTGTGCATCACAATCCCAGAATCAAGTTTGTGTTGCCACTGTGTTGCATCTCGAACCTCTCGCTCACGGATGCAGTTTATGCGAGCCAATCACAATACAGTTTTAAATACACCGATTAATGCATATATTGCGAGAGTAGGAATTGATTTTAATCGATGGTCGATTCATTGTTACACACTTACTTCATGCAGTTCGTACCAATGCAGAAAGTTTGCTTCCCACCCTCGTGGAGTTTTACCTACTCTTCGAGCGAGTCATCAAGGAATGAATTCCCACATTTGAACTCACCAAAAATGTAATACTCGAGAAATTTGCATCTCGTGGAAGCAATGCTAAAGAGTACCACCGTAATAGAATATGGATGTTGAACTTGTTTCGGACCGTACGTAGCCAACCGTGTTCATTGGAGTTGCGGGGGAAGGACAACACGCTAAACACAAAAAAAACTGTTCAAGAAATTAGTTTTCAATCAAGATTTAAAAGTGCAAAGCTCCAGTGGCTTCCTAATATCGCAACACAGGACCACGTGACACCCTTTACAAACGCAAAAGTCGCAAACATAACCTGTTTGGAAATCAAAAACAAATTCATAGTAACTTTAGTTTGTTTCAGATGCATGAAGCCCAGGTGCCAAGCTCATCAGCCAAACTGTCCCATGGCATCTCACCACGTTAGCTTTGATCACATTCCACTCTGCAAAGAGTATATGACATGTACAGATGATCTTCAACTTCATCCTTCCAAAGTGAGGATTTCAGACATTCCAACATCGCAAATGGCATGGCAATGAATGAAAATTAAACACACAATTTCAAGCATGTAAGAAGAATAATGCTGTTTAGCATAATTTATTTATCCAAATAAACATCGATGATTTGTATCGCAAAGAATGGGTTAACACACACCAGGGTGTTACTGGCTTGTTCACCCTGCAAAAATAGCCTCTTAAAAAATCTTGTCTGCAGTAAAAGCTTTCATCTTGCTCTCTAAAGCCGATTTACATACTGTGTGAACAAAGTGCATCTCGTCACTGTCCATACAAGATCTGTGGCTATACATAAATAATAAACCGTACAAATGAGTCCGTATTTACAAGCATCGTCATATTATATTTCCATATGTAACATTTATATATACTTTATTATATAAAATATTTATATTAAATCTGTGTTGATGTGCCTTCGCAACAGTCGATTCTCTTATGGGACAAAGAAATGTTTAATGGTTAAAGAGTTCATGTCCTTGTGGTTATTTATTTCTATACACACATGCAAGTGCATGTGTGTGTACATAACCTTAAAATTACAAAACCATTCTTTATGAAATAAAGCAAAGTCCAATCCTTTGTGTGGAGAAGCAGTACAAATGAGATTGTCATAATGCATCGTGTCCCCACAACACTGATTCTTCTTGCTGCTCCTGCACTTTCAATTCATTTTCCAGGAACGAGTCTCATTAATGAAAGCATCCAGCATGGATGTTCTTACGTTTTCGGTGCTGGCTTCTCCCTTTCCACTTGCATACAAATGGAATAATACACAGACGCAAACAGCCATTACGTCAACATGAAGTTTGCAAATCATAATCGAGCACTTATCCAAAACTCTCCACAATTCCTGTATTGTAATGCATATGCTGCCTTTATAAAACTGTGCCAGAATACAGACTATACATATTAGTTTTGTGTGGTATATGCCCTAACACTGCATTTTACAACACACACTTATCTAAGAATAGTTCATTTCACAACCTGGCTCCCCAGATTTCTAAATTCCTTCATCACAATAACAAGTTAAAAAAAATAACGTACTAAACAAGTCTTTGAAATAGTCACTTAAGCTGTACTTTTTATGTGCTGAGAAGACTTGTTTTTTTTATACAGGAAGATATTCTTCTTGGAGTACACCTCTGATACTGCTACTTTACAGTAACTTGATTATCCTTCTAGGCTCTAGCCTAAGCCTCTCAAGGGTTTCTTCATAAAATGAAATGTTAATATTACATACACACTGGCAGGAGTGGTTTATTTAGTGATTGCTAGTGAACACCTGGCACCTTTAATAAGCGATGGAAGCAACATCTTCAAAACTACTGCATTAGTTTTTTTTAAACCCATTCATTTTTAAAACATTGCGTTTCTCTGATCGCGCACAGGTCTATGTTGAACAGCAACAGGAGAACACCTTTGCACGAAGGGTTTCAGTGTGGTGTGCTAATTCAATCACAGTAAAAAACCAGCACTTCTGTCGAGACTCCGCGTAGAACCTGGCCAACTTCAGCCTGACGGTCAGCCAAAAAATATTCTTCTCCAGACAACTGGACCTCAAGACACTACGATCCAACCTCAATCCACAATTTCCGTAGTCTGCACCACCATGCTTCAGCGCACGCTCAGCAATATTTCAAGCCAACAGGGGCAGGACGTGATGAATTGACGGGAGTAGCAAGGTCCCCAGCCCTTGGCAAAGCTGATACGTATGCTGTTGGGATCGTAGGGTCCATTCTCGTGACGTGCCTGATGCTCCTGCAGCAGCATCGATTGCTGGAAGTCGAAAGCCCGCAGGGAATAGCCGGGAGGAACCTGCATGCCATCAAATACAAACACACGAATGGGTTCATTTTGATAAAGTATTAAAGCTTTCGTGACTGCATAAAATTACTCATTGGTTTTTTCGGTAAAGTCACGTATGTAGAAATACAATAAAATTATACGTGACTTTACCGAAAAAAACAATGAGTGGGTTTATTTTATTTTAAACTATACACTTAAACATGTGTAAGTGTAAATGTGTTAGTCTGATTAGAAATAGAACGGAGGGTCAGCAATGTACCTTCTTCATAGCAATTACATATATATCATATATAAAGGTTAAGATACAACAATGGCACATCAACACCGCTATCCAACTTTTACATAATATGGCTGCAGTGTGTCCATGTACAGCTCCTTTGTCAAGCCATGGATAACGACCTCCCTATGCCTTGTCAGTCATGGGGGTTATTGGATCATAATTTTGCCATGCTTGTCAGTGCAGGTTGATGAAGGCGGGGATCACAGATGTGGAAGCATATTATCACAGCACAACAATGGATTTCGTTACACTGCCCTCTGCTGCCCAAAACAATAAAACGCCTGTTTTATGCAGTGGTCACCATCCGAGCACCATCCAGTTTCAACCTTGCTTAGCTTCTCAAATTTGATGGGACTGGGCACATTCCTGGTAATTTTAGACGTAGGCTATGCGCACGCATGGTCGTCGAAATATGACGCCAAAGTTTTTGCGGTGCGTGTCACCGTGAAATGTTACCTTGCGCACAACGGGATTGCGTGCACCAAGCCCATCCAGCGTGGGTGAATTGACGAAGAGTGGATGCTGGCTGCGGTTGTAGCACCACACACCGTCTGCCTCCCGGCTGAGCAGCAACCCGTAGCCAATCTTGGCCCTGGTGCGGCTTGTCGACTCGCTGATGCCACCACCGCTGCCAGCTGATGACGAAAAAGTGGGTGCAAAGCCACAGAGGTCATTATTGATTTATTTTGACCAATATCATACAGCAGTTTAACACGTAGGCTTTCGCAATCAATATCATCCATAAATACAGGTTTATGTGTTAAATTGCGGAAATATATAAAACGTGTCGTTAAACAGCAGTTCACTTTTAATTGCTTTAATATGGCCAAATCACAGGAGCGGCGAATGTATTTTTTTGACAAAAATGTCTATGGTGCTTTTAACTTTTTTTTTGTAACGCTCGCAGAGCAGTGCAACCATTTACGTTTGAGAATGGACCCTGGAAATGGATATCATAGGGCTACCTCTGAAATCAATCCAAGTGACCTCTGGTCCATACAGTAGTGGACAGCACTTGCTGACTTGCTCTCCAACTGACAGTAATGTTTGATGTATGACAGTCAAATTAATTGAAGAACCAGATATAACGTGATGGATTTTTTTGTGCAATCATGGATGATTTGGCTAAGACTATCAACTCACTACACATGAGTGCCCAGTTTAAGTGCAGGCGGTTGCCTGGATCCGAATCTAGGATCTTGTCGGTACCCACTCAGCGCTCTGACCATCGTTGAGCCATCCGGCCACCTCGATGCTAATTATTTTTTAACAATCTAACGGTTTCGGTAATGTGACCTACATATGATTACGATTAATCGAGTGGTGACTGTGGGCTGCATGGGGACATATTTTTCGATTGCTCAAGTGTGCTATAATTTTAAACAATTATAGTTGACCAAATGGACATTGTGCCAAGACACAAATATATAGGCACATAACAAGGTATCCCCTGGTGCTTTGGACGAATTTCTGTAAACATTTATTCATGCAGAAATGGAAGCATGCTAGAGATATGGCCCAACTAATTGTTTAAATTTCCACATTGATTAAAGGGAAATGTGTATGAATATATTTAAACAAGAAAAACAATAACAGCAGTTATAGTGACCACACAGTTTTCAATTGCGGTCGTATGTATTTATACATTCTTTCGAACCATACGTAGCCAATAGTCAATGGTGCTAATCGGAAGTGCAATTCAAAAAACTTACACTCACAATTTTTTGACTAAATATAACATCACAATGAAGTGATAGATACATATTCTTGGTTCTGTGGTTTTCACATCTGATGATGATTGCTTGTGTTGCAGTCGAAACGTCGTGAGAATTTTAATGTTTTATATTTTTATTATTTGTTTCCCTTCTACGTGACTTTACCTAAAGAACCAAGAATATGAATCCCTGCAGTCACGAAAGCTTTAAATCAAAAAGTGATAGCGATGTTGATATTTGTAGGGATTAATGTTTACAGTTTCCTCGACAACACATATGAGCTTCCATCTGTAAGTAAATAAAAGTGCAAGAGTCGCTGGTGAAACACAGCACTGAGACCCAAAATCGACTTCTGGGTCCTAGAAACTGTTGCTTGTGGTTGGAAAATCAGCGACGATAATAATCTTAAACACATGCAGAGCATATGTGAAAAAACGAAACATTGATTGCGCCTGGATAGACATTTTGAGAGCAAAATAAATCTGAGATAGTGTTATTTTTGTCAGTTAAAATTGACAAAAACTGTTCACTCAAATTTCAGCCATGGAGAAATAGATCACACGAAAAATGGCATTCATAGGACCAGCAACACCACATATGGCTGTAGCAGCTCATGAAATGCACACAGCATTGTCTCATTCGTGTGCATGCTTTACGTTGGCAAAAGAAGAAAACATTTTGCAGAACCCCTGTAAATGATAGCAAAAATTTTGCATTAAAAGAACGTAAATATTTATGCGCTTATTTATTCAAAGATTTTTCTGGTTTGTGACCAAAAATAGTTGACCGTCAAACTACACGCAAACTACAAGATAATTTTGTCAATTACAGTCAGAAGCAATGCTAAAAACGTCTCTTTCCCCCCCCCCCCGCACCAAAATAATCCTCTCGCTCCCATTAAAGCCTTATCGGGTTGACAGCGAGGGTTGGCGTGAAGCACAGGGTGTTTACGCAGCAGTGTCTGGCTTTACCAATTCCACCAGCCCGGTTGCCGTGGCTCGCCGTCAGTTGGCTTAGGCAGAGCCCGTCACCGTGGGGCAGGTCGTAGAAGACAGCCACTGAAGCGTCGCCCACAGGGTACAGGCGCCCGACTCGAGAGCGGTGTTCCCAGTACGCTACGTGGCACCAGCAGGGCTGCTTCATGGCATCTGGTGACAGGCTCTGGTCTGGAAGAGAAGGAGGGAGGGAGGGAGGTGAAAAAAAACAACTTAAACAAGTCAAAACAGCAATCCTAATAACGTCAATAACAAGTGTTTTTCATATATTTATTATCATTGAATAATAACTTGGGAAGCCAAGTGAAAAACCTGTTGACATGTATTATTGTGCGTGGGAAATTGTTTTCAAATGAATGGGTTTTATTTATTTTGTGTTTTTGGGGATTTGCTTATATGAGATTTGTTCAAATGAGTTTCAGATTTGCATATGCGGCTTAGACATTGGCAAACTTACTGTGCAAATCATACGGCCTTTGATGTACACATTAGAGTATTGATGTACACATTAGAGTATGCAGAGCTTTGGGAGATTGTTTTTGCAGGCTTTCAATTGCAGAGCATTCATCATAGCAACAATGGTACGAGCAAAAGTAATCATGCCTGTACTTCCAAAAGCATATTATTCACTTGTAGAGTTGTAATTTCTCAATTACTTTACATACAATATACATTAACTCCGATTATGAAGTGTTTCTTCGAACATGAATGTTACTGTATAACAAGGTGTCAATGTATTTTTTTTTACAAATTTAACTTAATATTTTACGTTAAAGAAAACACAAACAATTCTCATGAAACAGCTTTGAAACAAATTATTCAAACGGTTACAATTCATAAAGCAAACCTGTACAATCTGTTTGTTTTAAAAATACAGCATTTACCGATGTTTGTCTACCCATTCATAAATACATGAACGTGTCTTTCAACCCTCCCCACCCCCAAAACTCTCCAGGGACTTCTGCCTTCCATTAAGACATTCCTTCATGGATCTTTCATTTGATTCTTCTCTCTCACTGCCTCTATCATCCTCGGTCTCTCTATTTCTCTCCCTCTCCCCCCGTAATCTGAGACCAGAGTCGGCCAGAGGCCCATTAATATCTGACATGCCACAGCCCTAGCAGAGACCTTAGAAAAACACGGGACCTCTATACAGTACCTAGCCCAGCCAACCAAAAACCATTTGCCCAGCTAAATGCATTTTAACTTCAAAACTGGAAACAGAAATTGGACAGGAAAGGCAGCAGAAGCCAGACTTAATCAAAATTATTCATATTTGAACAGTCCCATCTGACTGTCATCTACTAATATCAACAACTCACTTCTGTGTATGTATATTAAATATTCTCCTTTAAAAATAAAACAGTATTTGAATGAATATATGGATATATAAAACATATTGCAAGCACTACATTTAACAATGTTAGACTGACATTCAATATGTTCATATACAATGTGATTAGATTTAAAATTTTATTTCAGCAAAGACCATGTAGAATCTGAAATAATATTCTGAGAAGAAAATTAACGTACTGAATTTGTCCAGTGCTTGTTAAATTTAAACCATACCGAGATTAGAATCAGAATCTTTATTTATCCTGGAGAAATAAGATGAGCTATAAAGCTCTTTTCACAGATGTCAAGTAGGGGCAAGTCAGAAAGTTACAGCAAACAATACAAAATACGACTGAAGTGCAAAGTATGGGAAAGATGTATTCACAAAGTCAATGAAAGCCATATAATGGGGCTAATTTCCAACCATATGTTTGTGGTATTCTATTTGGAACTGCCAAGAAAATAATAAATGTTTGTAAATGAACTAAACTAATATATATTTTAAAGTATAAATTTAGTTAAGAAAATCACTCCACTCTTCTCTTGCTCCACCTCATCGTCTGCCTGCCATGATTTCCCTCGGTATGCATTTCCCTGCCGTGTTTTTCAGCTGTGGGCTTTTAATGAAAAATGTATTGTTAAAGAATTTGTATTTTTATTTAGCAGCATATCCACATGCCTAAATAATGTTTACTATCACAGCATAATGCCAACTATGACATGTGGATCAAAAATATATACACCGACAGTGGAATACAAGCTGATATGTATACAAACGTGGAAATAGATGCTACGATTATACTGAATGTCAGAAAGAGGACCACACGGCAGACAGAAAAGGCAAATGAGTCCTCATATCGATTGAGAAAAATAATTGGGCCATGGCATGACACAATGCAAAAGTGTACGATGGCCAATTGACGATATTGGTGATGGAATGCCAGTCAAAGGAAACAAGAGTGATGATATGAATGGGCTGTGGTATCAGGGAACCATAAGATATGGTGAGAGTGTGAGGCCTTCATTCAGCAGTAGGCTATCACTGATGATGATGGCATCTACTCTATTCTGACACTTTGTTTTTTAAAGCATTCACTTTAGTAGGACGTATGTAGCTGTTAGGAGGCAAACTTTTACGGCTCAAAACAGGGTGACATGAAAATAGCATCTATTTGAAGACTTCAAAACAACAACTGCATATATTATTTGACATTTTAAAGAACAGAAAATCAATGCATTTTTACAATTATGTAATGCGTTTTCCATCCTTTGTTCGCAGATTATGAGGCACTATGCTTACATTTTTAGTTTACACCACACAAAGTACTGTTTAGAAGTAGAGTTGGCTGTACAAAGATGTGCACAAAGAAACACAAAATGCATGTATAAATGGACACACGTGCACAGAAAATCCAACGTTTATTTGAGAGTTCTGAGTTTTTGATGCAGCTTGCTGTAAATTATGATTATAGATATATGATTGTATATACACTTAGTGAGGGAAAAAAGTATTTGATCCCCTGTTGATTTTGTACATTTGCCCACTGACAAATAAATTATCAGTGTATAATTTTAATGGTAGGTTTATTTGAACAGTGAGAGACAGAATAACAACAAAAATCCAGAAAAACGCATGTCAAAAATGTTATAAATTGATTTGCATTTTAATGAGGGAAATAAGTATTTGACCCCATCTCAATCAGAAAGATTTCTGACTCCCAGGTGTCTTTTATACAGGTAACGAGCTGAGATTAGGAGCACACTCTTAAAGGGAGTGCTCGTAATCTCAGTTTGTTACCTGTATAAAAGACACCTGTCCACAGAAGCAATCAATCAATAAGATTCCAAACTCTCCACCATGGCCAAGACCAAAGAGCTCTCCAAGGATGTCAGGGACAAGATTGTAGACCTACACAAGGCTGGAATGGGCTACAAGACCATTGCCAAGCAGCTTGGTGAGAAGGTGACAACAGTTGGTGCGATTATTCGCAAATGGAAGAAACACAAAAAAACTGTCAATCTCCCTCGGCCTGGGGCTCCATCCAAGATCTCACCTCGTGGAGTTACAATGATCATGAGAACGGTGAGGAATCAACCCAGAACTACACGGGAGGATCTTGTCAATGATCTCAAGGCAGCTGGGACCAGTCACCAAGAAAAACAATTGGTAACACACTACATCGTGAAGAACTGAAATCCTGCAGCGCCCACAACGTGCCCCTGGCTCAAGAAAGCACATATACATGCCCGTCTGAAGTTTCCCAATGAACATCTGAATGAATCAGAGGACAACTGGGTAAAAGTGTTGTGGTCAGATGAGACCAAAATGGAGCTCTTTGGCATCAACTCAACTCACCGTGTTTGGAGGAGGAGGAATGCTGCCTATGACCCCAAGAACACCATCCCCACCGTCAAACATTGAGGTGGAAACATTATGCTTTGGGGGTGTTTTTCTGCTAAGGGGACAGGACAACTTCACCGCATCAAAGGGACGATGGACGGGGCCATATACCGTCAAATCATGGGTGAGAACCTCCTTCCCTCAGCCAAGGCATTGAAAATGGGTCGTGGATGGGTATTCCAGCATGACAATGACCCAAAACACACGGCCAAGTCAACAAAGGAGTGGCTCAAGAAGAAGCACATTAAGGTCCTGGAGTGGCCTAGCCAGTCTCCAGACCTTAATCCCATAGAAAATCTGTGGAGGGAGCTGAAGGTTCGAGTTGCCAATCGTCAGCCTCAAAACCTTAATGACTTGGAGAAGATCTGCAAAGAGGAGTGGGACAAAATCCCTCCTGAAATGTGTGCAAACCTGGTGGCCAACTACAAGAAACGTCTGACCTCTGTGATTGCCAACAAGGGTTTTGCCACCAAGTACTAAGTCATGTTTTGCAGAGGGGTCAAATACTTATTTCCCTCATTAAAATGCAAATCAATTTATAACATTTTTGACATGCGTTTTTCTGGATTTTTTTGTTGTTATTCTGTCTCTCACTGTTCAAATAAACCTACCATTAAAATTATAGACTGATCATTTCTTTGTCAGTGGGCAAACGTACAAAATCAGCAGGGGATCAAATACTTTTTTTCCCTCACTGTATGTAATCTGCGACGCACTGCAGTGGATTGAAAAAGTTTCTCGAACTGCAAACCGTGATCCACAGAAGGGGCAGACTAATGGGAAGCTGCATGAATGGAACTGCAGGGAAATGCAGAGGTACAATTTTTTTCATTTTCATTTTAAAAAATTTGTTTTTCATACACACAGACTAGCTGTGCTGATGTGGTTTGTTGAGCAGAAAAATATTTTAGCATTTTTTAGACTTGGATATCAAGTCTAAAATATGCAAATAATCCTATATTATAGACCCATACGGCAGATTTGCACCATTTAGGTCTGAGAAAATGTTTACCTCATACTCCGCAAATTTTATCGCGGATTAAATCATCCCTAAATCTCATGCTAATCTTCCACTTTCAATATGAAAAATGTTCATGGACCAATGGAATCCTGTAGCAAATTCCTCCTAAAATCGTCGTGGTGTGCCGCAGATTACAGGATCTGCGATATTGCCCCGCCATATCAACGACGCTTATTGGATTTCTGCAGTATATTCAAAAACACACACACATTCATGCATTCTCACAAACACATGACTGTGCTGGTACAAAGCAACCAGGTGTTTTACCATGAATAAAAATTATGTATTTGTCACTCTTGTCTAAAAACTATAGAGATCTGAACATTTTTATTGGTAACCTGTGTGGTAAGTTGTGGTGAGTGGCTTCAGGATTTTGTAGTTCAATGAAGTGTCCTTGGATGGACGAATAGACAA